GGGTAATGAAAGTTCACAGAAGTAACAAGTAAAGGTAGACCTACCAATGAGTTAGTGTTTTCACTGATATCAATGTTTGTTTATGAATTAAGTGAATAATACTCGTAATTCTTTTGGCAAATCGGTAACAGAATTACAGAAATCTGTAACGGAGTTACTGCAATTGAATTGGCTACAATGGGAAATTATAGTAGTCACAAACCACAGTTGGGTCACCTGCTACTGTCCTCCCTTCCACTGGCATACTGTTATTTTTTCTTCTCTTTCTGTCTTCTGGTGGTCAAAGCAAGAGGGTGACAACAGTCTGGACAACCTTGCTCTCGCTCTATATAGAGTCATGGTCAAACGTTTTGAGAATTACACAAGTATTGGTCTTCAAAGTTTGCTGCTTCAGTGTTTTTAGATATTTTTGTCAGATGTTACTATGGTATACTGAAGTATAATTACAAGCATTCCATAAGTGTCAAAGGCTTTTATTGACAATTACATTAAGTTTATGCAAATAGTCAATATTTGCAGTGTTGACCATTCTTTTTCAAGACCTCTGCAATCCGCCCTGGCATGCTGTCAATTAACTTATGGGCCACATCCTGACTGATGGCAGGCCATTCTTGCATAATCAATGCTTGGAGTTTGTCCGAATTTGTGGGTTTTTGTTTGTCCACCCGCCTCTTGAGGATTGACCACAAGTTCTCAATGGGATTAAGGTCTGGGGAGTTTCCTGGCCGTGGACCCAAAATGTTGATGTTTTGTTCCCCAAGCCACTTAGTTATCACTTTTGCCTTATAGCAAGGTGCTCTATCATGCTGGAAAAGGCATTGTTCGTCACCAAACTGTTCTTGGATGGTTGGGAGAAGTTGCTCTCGGAGGATGTGTTGGTACCATTCTTTATTCATGGCTGTGTTCTTAGGCAAAATTGTGAGTGAGCCCACTCCCTTGGCTGAGAAGCAACCCCACACATGAATGGTCTCAGGATGCTTTACTGTTGGCATGACACAGGACTGATGGTAGCGCTCACCTTATCTTCTCCGGACAAGCTTTTTTCCGGATGCCCCAAACAATCGGAAAGGGGATTCATCAGAGAAAATGACTTTACCCCAGTCCTCAGTAGTCCAATCCCTGAACCTTTTGCAGAATATCAGTCTGTCCCTGATGTTTTTCCTGGAGAGAAGTGGCTTCCTCGCTGCCCTTCTTGACACCAGGCCATCCTCCAAAAGTCTTTGCCTCACTGTGCGTGCAGATGCACTCACACCTGCCTGCTGCCATTCCTGAGCAAGCTCTGCACTGGTGGTGCCCCAATCCCGCAGCTGAATCAACTTTAGGAGACGGTCCTGGCGCTTGCTAGACTTTCTTGGGCGCCCTGAAGCCTTCTTCACAACAATTGAACCTCTCTCCTTGAAGTTCTTGATGATCCGATAAATGGTTGATTTAAGTGCAATCTTACTAGCAGCAATATCCTTGCCCGTGAAGCCCTTTTTGTGCAAAGCAATGATGACGGCACGTGTTTCCTTGCAGGTAACCATAGTTAACAGAGGAAGAACAATGATTTCAAGCACCACCCTCCTTTTAAAGCTTCCAGTCTGTTATTCTAACTCAATCAGCATGACAGAGTGATCTCCAGCCTTGTCCTCGTCAACACTCTCACCTGTGTTAACGAGAGAATCACTGACATGATGTCAGCTGGTCCTTCTGTGGCAGGGCTGAAATGCAGTGGAAATGTTTTTTGGGGATTACGTTCATTTTCATTGCAAAGAGGGACTTTGCAATTAATTGCAATTCATCTGATCACTCTTCATAACATTCTGGAGTATATGCAAATTGCCATCATAAAAACTGAGGCAGACTGTGAAAATTAATATTTGTGTCATTCTCAAAACTTTTGACCACGACTGTATATACACACACACTACCAGTCAAGTTTGGGCACACCTCATTCAAGGGTTTTTCTTTATTCTTACTATTTTTTACATTGTAGAAAAATAGTGAAGACATCAAAACTATGACATAACACATATGGAATCATGTAGTAACCAAAAGAGTGTTTAACAAATCAAAATATATTTTAAATTTGAGATTCTTCAAATAGCCACCCTTTGCCTTGATGACAGCTTTGCACACGCTTGGCATTCTCTCAACCAGCTTCATGAGGTAGTCACCTGGAATGCATTTAAATTAACAGGTGTGCCTTGTTAATTTGTGGAATTTATTTCCTTACGCCATCCCATCTCGTTTGCACTTAGTGGGACTATCATTTGTTTTTCAACAGGACAATGACCCAACACACCTCCAGGCTGTGTAAGGGCTATTTGACCAAGTAGGAGAGTGATTGAGTGCTGTGTCAGATGACCTGGCCTCCACAATCCCCCGACCTGAACCCAATTGAGATGGTTTGGGATGAGTTGTACCGCAGAGTGAAGAAAAAGCAGCACAGTGCTCAGCATATGTGGGAACTCCTTCAAGACTGTTGGAAAAGCATTCCAGGTGAAGCTGGTTGAGAGAATGCCAAGAGTGTGCAAAGTTGTCATCAAGACAAAGGGTGGCTACTTTGAAGAATCTAAAATCTAAAATATATTTTGATTTGTTAAACACTCTTGGTTACTACATGTTTCCAAATGTGTTATTTCATAGTTTTGATGTATTCGCTATTATTCTACGATGTAGGAAATAGTAAAAATAAAGAGAACCCCTGGAATGAGTAGCTGTGTCCAAACCTTTGACTGGTACTGTATGAATATGTGTACTTCTCCCGGCTCTTACTGACACATACCCATGTGTCCCCTCGTTCCATTTATTGTAATCAACATCTGCACCGACTGACACCGGACGTCCATGGACTTTGAAAAGTAGTTGAAATTTGGTCAGTTCGTCCTGACCTTGATTTCAACATCCACAGAGTTTGCTTTCCGGACTGGCCTTGATTTGATCCAAACATAGACGTCCATGATTGGTGAATGGACCAAATCTGAACCAATCATAGGTCTGTTTCACAAGTTTGCACAGTATAGTGAAGAAAAGTAGAGTACATACAGTATGATGAATAAATGTACTGAACTCTACTGTACTGTGCTCTACTGTGCTGTACTGTGATGTCCAAACTAGTGAAACATAGACATCTATGATTGGTTCAGATTTTGTCCGTTATGATTTCAACCAAATTTGGTCTTGTTTTGGGGGGTGGAGCTCATTACAATAATAGCCGGGATATGCAAAGGATGATATTGGAGGTTTCTACATTTTGTGTACCTATTCAGGATACATCACCATGAGAATGACATTCATATACATAATAATGCATTTCTTTATAGTACAGATCAGGGACCCATGATGTTATTCCGTTACCGTAACTGTAACCAAAATATTGTTGTTTTTTCAAACACCCCATTCTTTCTGCAGACATATTTGAATCTTAATTCGGAGCGGATATTTATGTTTTTGGAAAACATGGTCGCATAAAAAAAAACAAGGAGATTATATCATAATTCTGTTACCAAACTTTGCATCTACACAGTTCTTCCAGTAAATGTGTTTTTGTGAAATTGTCTGTGTACATTTAAAAGTAGTCCTTGTGCGTAGCGTTGTATGGCTTGTTCAACTTTGAAATCAATGGTTTTTGTTTAAATTTTTAAGTGAAACATCTGAGTATCAATTCTGTTATCATGGAATTGCTCTGTTGCTTACTTGTGTTGTTGGCTGAGGAAAATGTAAATGGGGACAATGATTTTTCATTAGATAATAAAAAAATTCCATAACCAAAAGTACCAGGGCTCAGCTCCGCCTAGCTCTCATTTGGATCATAGGTGCCGGGTATCGGACATACTGTACAGTATTGTTGACATACTGTACAATCTGTTGTGTTCAGCACTGATTATCTAATATAGCATCCATGATTCGTATCATCGATTGGACAGTCTATTTTGTTGGTATGTTTTTATCAGAAATTACTAGGTGAATTGGTGGTTCTATTTCCGTTGTATGAAAATGTATACACTCACTAACTGTAAGTCGCTCTGGATAAGAGCGTCTGCTAAATGACTAAAATGTTAATGTAGTTTGAGATGCTACTCATTGAGATAAACGTCAGCTTCAACTGAGAACTAGTGTTTTTTTTACATTATTTTTTTAACATAGCTGTCTGGATAGCAGTGTGCCTCCCCGTTGCTTGTCAATTTTGGGATCTTAAAGTAACGTCATGTATCTACTGCCAGATCCCATTGTGTAGCTGTTACTCACAACTGACTGTTGAGTTTGTGTTACAGCTAGAGATACAGGAAGATTTAGGAGCAACCTTTGTGGGGATGATGTTTGGGGGAATTGTAACAGTAAATTCTCAGTTAAAACAATGTTAATTAATGATGACAAGTCATTATTTTATGAGCAAGAACCTTGCTTGTGCCCTATAATATCAATATAATAGTACACATACCTGGTCTATGTAATTTACCTTATCTTTCCAGAATTCCAAAATCACTTTCATAGTTTTACATTGATAATCCCATTTTCAACAATGTTATTATAAAATAGTAGAGTATATTAGGTCCTCTCATCCCGTTTTGTCTGAAATCGCAGGATGAAGTTGTATAGAATGTAAACATTCCTGTATCCACAGATATCTGTGGTTGTATGCATTCCCTGCAGCTCTGGAGAACACCGGATGGCCATTGTTGCAAACTAAAGGCAATGTGGAGACGATCGGGACAAAATCTAATTTTGGATTTGGCGGCCTCTGTGCACACAAGCACTTTAGTGTAGCTTAACTGATAGGGAATGAATACAACTTGACCAGATGGCTGTGAAGAAATTGTTCATATCATCAGCTTCATTCCCACTATCTGTGTGTGTGTGTGTGTGTGTGTGTGTGTGTGTGTGTGTGTGTGTGGGGTTAAAATATTCCCTAAACTTTCCCAAAATCCCCAGGTTTTAAAGAAATCCCAGTTGGTGGATTTACCTCCCAGCTTCCTGATTCCAGGAATTCTCCAACTGGAAAACATGGGAATTTTGGAAAAGCTACTCAAATTCTGCAACCCTATGTATGTGACTATTTCTTGTTGCATCGATAGTTAGTGTGTAGCTCATGAAATGTTTATTTTCATGTTCACTGACCGTATTTCTGTGTCTTCTGTCCCACAGGTGAACGATGACCGAATACAAGCTGGTGGTGGTGGGAGCAGGAGGCGTGGGCAAGAGCGCACTCACCATCCAGCTCATCCAGAACCACTTTGTGGACGAATATGACCCCACCATCGAGGTAAAAAGTTATTTCAGTACAACCATGTGTCTTTTACTACAACAAGGCATGCCTGGGAGTCAGGAGGCAAAGTTCCTTAAAAATAAATTGGGTACCATTTTTGTGGCTGCCTGCTCCGCCTGCACAGGGGACTGCGCAGAGTTGCATGGAAAAATAACTGCAATCAAAAAAATCATATGTATGTGCAAATGCAAGTAAAAATGTGCTCTAGATTCTGTTATTTGAATGTATGAATATAATATCAGAAGCATGGTCTCCTTCAGTCAGTTTTAAATTTGTAGGTTCAGTCAAATTGATAGATGGCTACTTGATGAAATGCTTTAGTGGTTTGACATGTCATAAATTATTAAGCTGAAAGCTATATATTTTATGACTGCTTGAAGATTGAATGCATTTCTTCCCTGGTGCACATATAGTCTCTTACCTGGTCATCCCATCCATTTTCTTAGATTCTAATACTATTGTATTTCCTCTGGAACATTATCAGATGAGCATTCTATGACCATATAGTTACGTCGAGGATTTCTGAGCCCTAGTCAGGTAGACTGGACACATATGAATATGTGATCATTCATAGGTGTCCAGTCCTGAACCATCCATCTCTCTCTTTCTTGCGCCCTCCTTCAGGACTCGTACAGGAAGCAGGTGGTGATTGACGGGGAGACGTGTCTGCTGGACATCCTGGACACTGCAGGTCAGGAGGAGTACAGCGCCATGAGGGACCAGTACATGAGGACAGGGGAGGGCTTCCTCTGTGTCTTCGCCATTAACAACACCAAGTCCTTCGAGGACATCCACCACTATAGGTGAGCTAGGTTCTGCCACAACATCTGAAGTACTGCTGCCGATTGCACTGGTGGCGGTAAGCCGGACTGTAGTTAAACCAGCGGACTATAGTTGTGCCAGCCGACTATAGTTGTGCCAGCCGACTATAGTTGCGCCAGCCGACTATAGTTACATCTGTTTCCAAGCAGACACAGTTGTGCCAGCCATATCCCATCAATTGTGTCAAAGCCAACATCACTCTCTACCTGTACAACCCACTCTTTAACCAACCCTTTAACCAGATTGTGTGTGAAATCAATAACCCCAAAAAGGAGTCCATTCCGTACTTTGGACGACCAAAGCATTGCACTGGTATTTAACTCTTGCCTTCCCTGTCATCTTTGTTCAACAGAGAGCAGATCAAGAGGGTGAAAGACTCGGAAGACGTGCCCATGGTGCTGGTGGGAAACAAGTGTGACCTGCCGTCCCGGACGGTGGACACCAAACAGGCTCAGGACTTGGCGCGCAGCTACGGCATCCCCTTCATCGAGACCTCGGCCAAAACCAGACAGGTGAGAGATGGAGACAACAGGTCCTAACTTTGCACCTGGTATAACTTTGCACCTTAGTAAATCGAGCCCTTGTAGCTTGTAGTGTCGAGGGTATTTGCTGGCGTGAACACAGCAGCCATTCAACTGTTTTCGCCACAGATCAATTTTCATTATTGTAGCAAGATTACTTCTTACCAGCTGTGTCAGGTGTCCATGCAATGGCTTTTTACAATCATGGCCACTTCAATCTCACAAAATGCTGTGGTCCTCTTTTGACTCCTGTGGTGCCTTTTTGATTTGTGTTGGTATCAATGGCTATATATAATATGTGCTCTGTTTCTAAATGGTGCTTGGAAATGTGTCGGGTAATGTACTGTACATAATTAAATTCCCTTTGCTTAATTGAATTCTTGATTTATGAATTGCTGTATCCGTGCATGCTCTTCTGTCATGGAAATGTGGCATTCTTTCACCATTAGAGGCTCCATAACGGATCTGGCATTGTTTTAATCAACAAATCAGTCAATCTCTGTCACTGAATCGTCACGACAGAGGGGAAATTGTCGGTAATTGTTGTGTGGCGGGGTGATAATCATGCTTAATGGACAGTGGGATGGAAGTGATTGTGTGCTGGATGGTGCACTATTGTCTGTTCTATTATGTGGTTGCTGGCTTGGCTTCAGTGGTGTGTGTCATGTGAGGATTTGCGTGGCTGGCTGGTGATGTATGTGGCGATTTGTCAGTCGGTGGACCTTCTCCTGCTCTTTTTGCATCGGTCCAATCACAACTCCTTCTGGGGACACTGATTGGTCTCTTCCAGCTCACTCCTCCAATGGTCGTATCGCCCAGCTACCTGGTGTTGCTCTTGGACTGAAATCACGAATAATACACACACCACTTTCACACCTTTACAATGACACTGAGTTTTATGTTTGTACCTGTCATTCCCCTGTGAAGTTAAATTATTAATTATGTTTTAAACTGCCAAAAAAAAATGCATCCTCAGATTTATACATCAGCCCTATACACAGCTAAATGTAGACTTGGTCAACATAGAATGCCTATACAATGAGTGTACAAAACATTAGGAACACCTTCCTAATATTGAGTTGCACCCACCTTTGCCCTCAGAACAGCTTCAGTTCATCGGGGCATGGACTCTACAAGGTGTCAAGCATTCCACAGGGATGCTGGCTCATGTTGATTCCAATGCTTCCCGCAGTTGTGTCAAGTTGGCTGGATGTCCTTTGGGTGGTGGACCATTCTTGATACACACAGGAAACTGTTGAGTGTGAAAAACCCAGCAGCGTTGCAGTTCTTGACACACTCAAACCGGTGCGCCTGGCACCTACTACCATATCCCGTTCAAAGGCCCTTAAATCTTGCCCATTCACCCTCTGAATGGCACACATACACGAACTGTCTCAATTATCTCAAGGCTTAGAAATCATTTTTTTAACCTGTCTCCTTCCCTTCATCTACACTGATTGAAGTGGATTTAACCAGTGACATCAACAAGGGATCATAGATTTCACCTGTATTCACCTGGTCAGTTTGTCATGGAAAGAGCAGGTGTTCCTAATGTTTTCTAACACTGTGAGGGAACACAGTCCACATAGTGTCCCTGTATTCCCTAACACTGAGGGGTCAACAGTGCCCCTGTATTCCCTAACACTGAGGGGTCAACAGTGCCCCTGTATTCCCAAACACTGAGGGGTCAACAGTGTCCCTGTATTCCCAAACACTGAGGGGTCAACAGTGTCCCTGTATTCCCTAACACTGAGGGGTCAACAGTGTCCCTGTATTCCCTAACACTGAGGGGTCAACAGTGTCCCTGTATTCCCTAACACTGAGGGGTCAACAGTGTCCCTGTATTCCCTAACTGAGGAGAGCTGTGTTTCGCACTGCAGAGAGTGGAGGATGCCTTTTACAGTCTGGTACGGGAGATCAGGCTGTACCGGCTGAAAAAGCTCAGCAAGGAAGAAAAGACCCCGCGCTGCGTCAAGCTTAAAAAATGTGTTGTAATGTGAAAGGGGTAAGTGTATAGCGTCCGCGCTCCCTCACGTCCGTCAGGTGTGTATTTGTGGTGTGTGTGTGGGAGGGTGTCGTCCGTGTGGTACCGAGCAGGGGGAGTGGTGCTCCTTGGTGGGCGGGATCCATCTCTTTTTAAGCTAACCTCCTGCTGTGGGATCTCCTTGAAACCAGGCGTCCATCTTAGTTTCTCCTCCTGTGGTATCTGTATCTCTGTGTGGGGTATGTTTATACTATCGTGGGTGATGATCATTCTGTAATCTGCTCAACTGAGACAAATCAGTGGTGCGAGAGGATGGAGCTGGTAAGATTGGATCTGTGTGATATATGGCGATTGTGATAATCTGGGCAGAAATGAAGTCTTGAAATGGTGACTAAGGACGTGTGATTACGGAGATGTTCCACTGAAGTCCTGTGGCAACTGCGTGCATTGATGTCACGCACAACTCCCTTTGTTTCTGTCTTTCTCTCTCTTGTTCTTACTCTCCATCTCACAATCTGAAATGACTTTGTCACCCATTGTATCAGGAAGGAAATCAATGTTGTGCTCAGTGAATGGCAAAGACCTGGTTATTTTTGGTCCCTGCCTCTCTTTGTGGCACCATTGATGTAGCCATTGTCTTTGCTGTTGTCTGCTGGGCCAGCTCATGCCACAAATCCACCTACCTACGAATCAATACGCAATGAACACATTTGTAACGCAAGTTTGCATCTAGTCTACATACTAGGAGTGCACACCGAAATTGCCACCCTATTCCCTATATAGTCAAAAGTAGTGCACTATATTGGGGAATAGGGGTGCCATTTCAGACATTTGCATCTGACCAAGCTTTCATGTTAGTCACAGATGAGAACATAAGTGTTTTTGAGAAGAGTTTTCAAAACAAACCTTAACTTATCTTTTTATTTTTATTTCCCAAGGGTGTCGATGATGCGTTTTACACATTAGTGCGGGAAATCCGAAAACACAAGGAGAAGATGAGCAAGGAGGGCAAGAAGAAGAAAAAGAAGTCCAAGACAAAGTGTATACTCATGTGAATAATGACCAGCCCCCTTTTCAAGATAGACAAAAAAAATGTGTTAAAACAGTTCAAGTAATACATTTTTGTACATTATGCTAAATTATTAGCCTCTTTATCTTACTACCCAAATTACTGAATATGGAAATGAACCCTATTTTTTTCTGTCTTTTTCTCTTATTTTGAAACCAATAAGCTTTACTTTGTGTTTAGTGGCAGTTGCCCAGGAGTGTTGGTCCAATAGGTTGATTATCAATTAGGAGCGGTAGACAGTAAAACAAAGGACTTTATTCAACAGCCAAGTTCACATCTATAGGGACATTTTGGACAACAGAGAAAGCAAGCCTAAAAAGCTTCTTTTCCCTCTGCTGGTAGAGCATGAGTTGCTCCTAACAGTATGGGGCGCCAAATAGTTGAATTCCATCCCATTCCATTGGACAAGGAGTAACAACTGGGAGGCAGGACCAACACTTGATTGGGGGAAATTCCAAATGTCCTGGCCACTGTGTGTAATAATGCCCATCCTCCTACTTTAAACTCCTAGATATGATTCAATAATGTCATGCAGTACTTGAAGCATGCATGTGAACTTTACTACTGTTTCTAGTAAAAACAATGTCCTGGTTACCCATTTTAATTAAGTTGTAATCTGTTAATGCTTTTTTGTAATTTGTGGGTAGTGATTTCCTGCCCACAGGAGAGACTTTCCTTTTTGCATGCAATGTGTTCTTACTAGTCAATGGGGAATGGCACAGTGATACTAATACTGTACGATACTGATACAGCCAGTTGGGCCACATAGGTTTTTATAGTGTTTTGGGACTCGAGTCGATCCATATTCACCATTCCTGATCTGATCTTTGGGTAGAATCCAGTTGTTGAATGGTGGGAAACCTTTTCAACAACTGAAATGCTCCAGGTGGCATGTATGAAGCAAAATAGATTTTAACATAGCCATCAGAACAGCAAGATTATGTCAGTAATGTTGAAGAGGACATGCATCTAATGTTGTGTTGCTCAGTGGCACTGCATGTTGCTTAAACCAACGCCTCTACATAATCCAGTGTCTCCTGTAGTTGTTTTATCATTAGATATGATATACCCTGCTCATTCCGAACGTTTTAAAAGATGAGTTAATTGTTCATCAAGAGACCTTGTTTGAGCTATGAAATTCCCCTCATATCCTTAGGATTGGTGTATTTTGTGTCGTGTTTTTGAAGGACAAACCTTTCCTATTCAAGGGATAGTTTACCGAAGTAACACATTTTAGCTATTGAACCAGCAAATCAAGATTTGGGCTTCCTTGTTACAGCATGACATCCAAATTGTTGAGTGCAAACAAATAGCATGCCTAAATTAAACCTAAACTTTAAACCAAGTCATCTAATGACATATATGTGTTATTCAGGTGAACTGTCTTCTTAAAGAATAGTTATTTACTGTCTTCAGATACAGGACATATAACACCCCAACAGATCCTAACAGAATATGCCTTGCACATTTCCCCAAGCCTTTGTTTTGTACTTATTGCTGCCATAAACTTACTTTCCTGTTTTTGAATTGGCTAGATTTGGCAAAGAAAATCTTACTTTTTTTGTCCAACCACAAATCTTCCTTTCTCTATTTTTTTAGTTTTACGTCTACAAAAGATGCATCCCATATAATTGGTGTCATGCAAAGAGTGTTCAAAAATGTATTGTTCAGATACATTTTTCTAATTCTTCCTCGTTAGAGGTTAGAGCTTGAGTGGGAAGGTGTTGAGTGGGTTTTGCTGGGCTGCGTTTCAAGTGAAATTACTGATCCAGTCCAATAATTGTTGTCAAATGTATCCCTCACAAAGGTTGTTGCTTCCTAGTGATGTAACTGGAACTGATGTCTAAATCAGGCAATTACCATTACATTATTTTTTAGAGAAAGTCTTAATTTATAAAAACACGGAATAGTTGTTTTTCAGCGTCAACGCTTATTTCACAACCTTATTATCAGGGTTTTACCTTGAGGCTTCTTACACATTGCCTTTTGTGTTTTCATCGGGTGCTTCAGTCTGACAGCAGTGGGACACATATGAGCCGAGACTGCATTTAGGCTTCTCTGTCACGTCTGTTCAACAGCTACAAGCTGCTGTTTGAGAGGAATGAAATTCTAAAGTCAAACAATACAATACATTTAGTTAGGATTTCTGCTTTCTTTGGCCCACTTCTATGACCTACTTTTTGTTCCTAAAGTTAGATATGAACTGTTAATACATTTTTGATTATGGGACCCCATTTGTTAACAATACTGTATAACAAAAAGTAATGTTCCACCTCCCTTTTTTTTTTTGCGTGCCAACTGCTGATTTCTGAAAAAGAAGTAGCATTTATACCTGGATCGTATTTTAACAACCTTTGTATAGTTGTGATACTGAAAGGTGAACATTTTGTAAATTGTGCTTCATTTCGTTGGTGTCTAAATGAATGTTGCTTTAATGGAGTTTTCAGTACTCTCTCTTTGTGTATGATGGGACTCGGGAGAGTGACTGGGTCCAGGTCTAGGGGAGTGAATGAATGACCACTGTTGAACACCTCCATAGAGAGCTCTCCTTGGTCACTGTGTACAGTGGTGATCTGATCCCAAATCTGTCTATTTTTTTGCCATGAATCTCACCACTCCTATTTAATGTGTAATAAAGACAAATAAAATAAAGAGGAATTGGCCCTGTCTTCATCTTTGCTCATTCAGTGACTTCCGAAAGTATTCACACACCTTGACTTTTTCCACAGTTTGTTGTTACATAGTGGGATTAAAATGGATTTAATGCCCTGTCAAAGTGGAAGAAAAATTCAAACATCATCTAAAAGATTCATGAAAAATGAAACACTATCTTGATTAGATAAGTATTCAACCTCCTGTGTCAATACATTTTAGAATCCCCATTGGCAGCGATTTAAAGCTGTGAGTCTTTCTGGGTAAATCTCTTAAACGCATTTCACACCTGGATTGAGCAACATTTGCCCATTATTCTTTTCAAAATTCTTCAATCTCTGTCAAATTGGTTGTTGATCATTGCTAGACAACCATTTTCAGGTCTTGCCATACATTTTCAAGCAGATTTAAGTCAACTGTAACTAGTGCACTCAGGAACGTTCAATGTCTTCTTGGTAAGCAACTTCAGTGTAGATTTGGCCTTGTGTTTTAGGTTATTGTCCTGCTGAAAGGTGAATTAATCTCCCAGTGTCTGGTGGAAAGCAGACTGAACCAGGTTTCCTCTAGGATTTTGCCATTATGTTTGTTTATCCTGAAAAACTCCCCAGTCCTTAACGATTACAAACGTACCCATAACATGATGCAGCCACCACAATGCTTGAAAATATGGAGAGTGGTACTCTGTGTTTTATTGATTTGCCCCAAACATAACACTTTGTATTCAGGACAAAAAGTTAATTGCTATGCTACATTTTTTGCAGAATTACTTTAGTGCCTTGTTGCAAACAGGATGCATGTTTTAGAATATTTTTATTCTGTACAGGCTTCCTTCTTTTCACTCTGTTTACAATTATTTGAAGGTCCATCAGTCGAGCAGTGAATTCCAAACACAGATTCAACCACAAAGACCAGGGAGGTTTTCCAATGCCTTGCAAAGAAGGGCACCTATTGGTAGACATTTTTTTTAATGCAGACATTGAATATCCCTTTGAGAGTGGTGAAATTATTAATGACACTTTGGATGGTGTATCAATACACCCAGTCACTACAACATACAGGCGTCCTTCCTTACTCAGTTGACGGAGATGAAGGAAACCGCTCCGGGATTTCACCATGAGGCCAATGGTGACTTTAAAACAGTTACAGAGTTTAATGGCTGTGATAGAAGAAAACTGAGGATGGATCATCAACATTGTAGTTGCTCCACAATACTAACCTAATTGATACTATTATTGCATACAGAGTCCATGCAACTTACGTGACTTGTTAAGCACATTTTTACTCATGAACCTATTTTGGCTTGCCATAACAAAAGAGTTGACTACTTATTGGCTCAAGACATTTCAGCTTTTGTTTTTAATTAATTAGTAAACATTTTGAAAAACATTCCACGTTGACATCATGAGGTATTGCGTCTAGGCCAGTGACAAAAAAAATCTAAATTTAATCCATTTTAAATTCAGGCTGTAGCACAACAAAATATGGAAAAAGTAAAGGGGTGTGACTACTTTATGAAGGCACTGTATCTGTGTCCAAGTAATTGTTATTTCGGTGCTGTCTGCCAGTTCGTAATGTGATGCCTATTGGCCTATCTATCTAAAGTCATATTTACACTCACACATTCCTTGGTGGAGTTGTGTACTATTCTATCGTTATTTATGAACACGAGGGAGCTGTTAGTTAGGGATGCGTGATCATGAGTATAAAAATGTATGCACTCACTAACTGTAAGAGCGTCTTCTAAATTACTAAAATGTAAAATGAGTCTGGTTTGGATAGAAGCACTGTATACACAGAACCTCAGACTACTAGTTTATCATGCTGGCTGAGATACATTTACATTTTAGTCATTTAGCAGACGCTCTTATCCAGAGCGACCTACAGTTAGGTGAGTGCATACACTCCATGCTCTACCAACTGCTACATCCCTGCCGGCCATTCACTCCCCTACCCTGGATGACGCTGGGCCAATTGTGCGCCGCCCCATGGGTCTCCCGGTCGCGGCCGGCTACGACAGAGCCTGGATTCGACCACTGCGCCACTCGGGAGGCCAGTATATTAGTATATTAGTATATTAGCAAACATGTATAACATGAAGATGCATGTGCGTATGACAGTGGATTAACTGCACCATAGATGAATAGTTGTTTAGGGTTGTAGTCTTGTAGCTCTGCCAGACTGCTGTCATGTCATTGGTTTTGCCAGCAGGGGCCACTGTTTTCCTCACTCTCTGCTGTGTCTGACAGGCTCACAGCCAGAGCATCAAGTGTCACCAGTGAATGGAGCCCCCAGACTGACAGCTATCTGCATATTGCACATTCTATAATGACACCA